ACAAGAAAAATAAATCTGGTGCATGCCTTTACCTTCAGTACAGAAAATAATTGTAATGGTGTCTTTACTGACCTCTGTAAACATGAAGATAAAAATTAATCAGCCAGTCAGCTGCAGAACTCTGCAGCCAGAGTCCTGACCAACACCAGGAAAATGAACTGTAATATTCTGCTGCTCATCTATAAATCACTGAATTATTTCTGAGTTGTTCATCAAGTATAAAGCATGCAGACCCATCACATCTTCATGCAGCTGACGATTCAATGTTTCCAGAACCAAACCAGGTGAGGCAGCTTTCAGTGTCTCTGCTCCTCATCATTTGATCCAAAGCCACACTGATGACTGAAGGATTTTAACTTTTGTTTCTCTGAGATGTTGAGTTCTCTCTTTTTAAAGCAAAATGTTGAGATCTTTTATTAAAGCACTTTAAATGTTCTTTTGTATGAATGTTGCAATACAAATAAACTCACCTGTTGGTTGTAGTTTTGACTCCTGTAAAGCACATTGTAATGTCGGTTTACTGCAGTGTTCACAAGGTTTACTCCTTACCGTTTTAATTTATTGGACTCTTCTTATTACCCAGCATTTGATGTTTTTAACCTGAAATTATGTGATTATTTCATATTTAGAGAAAAGGGTCCTATTATATATTTATTCTTTTTCACTGCTGTAAGATGGGAGATACCAAAATAATAAACATTTTTTATTTTCTTGTTTCTGTACTGTTTATAATTTTTTTAATTAAATCATTTTGTTTATTTTCAGACAAGTGTTTCTGTTGTGTTTATAGGTGTAATGATGTGCTTCAATTCATTTCTGCATAAAATGTGTGTCCAAAGAAGTTTATCACCACAGAAAAATTCAGTTTACCTGAATTCACCTGTTAGTCGTGTTTCTGACGTTTGTTTCCTTCATACGCTGCACCTGAGTGTAAAGAGGAGCCAGGAATAATATCATTATTCTGAATTATAGACAAATACACTTGAGCTACTAAAGTACAAAAGCATCTGTATTACCGTAGTTTCTATCCGCAAACTATGAGGATGCTAAAGTGGTGAAAAGCTGATAATCTACATTCAGCACTTTTACAGTTGCTGGTTCATTATTTTCATATTTAGTGAGCTGCACCCT